CGGTTACTCAAAACTCTATGCCCAACCTCAGTATTGCTCCTTCGGCTTCCCTACCAGATTCGTGCAATGCTGCGTAGACAGCGGTGTTCAAACACCGACAATCTATATTTATCCTGTTTTCTTCAATGCCAAGTTTCTGTGCAGTATAGCAGGACTGGCCGAACCGCCGCGGCATACACTCGGTACTTTACAGACAACCGGATGTCGCGACGGTGCCACAGATGCTTCAAGTTGGCAATTGCTAACCGAGCCTTCTGTATGCGAGCAGACACTTCATCCGTGATGCGTCTACCGGGTGAGATGTAGCTGCCCAAATAACAAAGCTCATCCACCTGCTCTATTACTTCCCCAGTTATGTGAGGCTGGGTGCTGGACCAACTCAGTCTTTTAGTAGCATTTTACAAAAAACGCAAAGCGCATACCGAACGTGGTTACAAGCTATCCAGAAAAGCTTGAAACTTACCTGGATCTTCACTTAGTAGCACAATGTCGTCTGCATATTCTAAATCAGACAGTCTTCCACCTGGGAGTAAATCGATGCCACTATTCACGCACGAAGATAGGACTGTTTCCATAATCAAATCTATAACAAAGTTGAATAGAAAAGGAGAAAGAGGGCAACCCTGGCGAACACCACTTTCCATGATGAATTCGAGTGAAAAGTGCCGTTAGTTTGGACTCGGCTTCGACTGTTAGTATAAAGCGATTGTAATATTGAAATTAACTTCTCGGGCACACCCTTCAGGAAAAGGCATCGCCACAGTTCAGAGCGGTCGACTGAGTCGAAACCCGCTTTCAGATCGACGAAGATAAAAATGATGGGTCTACGAAAGGAGTGTCTGTGTTCTAGAATTTGGCGGAGAGAGATGTGGTCAATACAGCTTCGACCAGGTCTGAAGCCAGCCTGGTTCTCACGCGTGCACCGTTCATATGCGGTAGGCAGTCGACGGAATATGATGTCGGCAAGAGGTTTAAAGGCGATGTTGATTAAACTAATTTCTCTGTGGTTTTCACAGGAGGATCTGTCACTTTTCTTGTAAATCGGTAGGATCACCGATTCACATAATTCAGTTGGACCCTCTCCCACACTGAACCCAGGAGTTTTGTTAACTCTAAAACCAAGGCTAAACCTCTATCCTTTAAAACGAATGGGGACAGCCCATCTGAGCCCGAAGCCGTTTGAGATAACTCATTTCTCGGTCAACCTTCAATTCAGATGGAGGGCTAGCATCAACTGGCAGCATTTGCCCAGTCAAGATGGAGGGTGAAAGATCAGATGTCGATGGGGGCCAGTCGAACTGAGCTTTAAAGTGTTCAGCCCATCGATCGAGACGGCGTTGGTGATGGTGAATCAGTGTGTCATCGGATTCCTCAATTACCTCACGCCTACTTTCCTGGGGCTTGTATTCCTAATTTAAACGGAAAAGGTTGCGACTGTTACCGATAGCCGCTGCCTTCTCCATCTCTACACTTCTCTACCCACCACTTCCCGTGGTCATTCCTCAGACTCTTGATGAGCTGGCATTTAAGGGATTTTCGCGCGTTGTAATATGTGGCATCGAGAGGGAGGGTTCTGCGGGCGTCCAACAGGGCAATCAAGGCCGACGAGATCCATCGTTTGTGTGCACCAGGGTCCGACGTTGTTTTAATTGATATTTGCATAACTTCCTTGATTTGCTTCCAATGTTCATTGAGTCCGTTGACTGGTGGTTAAACTGACAGGCGATCGAAGAGCTCCTCTTCGAAGGCTGATTTGCAGCCATCGCGGACGATGTATCGTGGGTATCCGTTGTCGGTGGCTTTTTTGTGGGTGTTTGCCAGGCTTTAGGTGGATCTTGCTCGTAGCAAAGCGTGATCCGTATCCACAGATGCGGACCAGTAAGAGCGGTGGTCTCTGATCGACCCTCTCCAGCAGTAACTGATGCAATGTGGTCGATCTGGGTCCAGCACAGTGAAGAGCTTGGCGGTTTCCATGTAAGGCGGTGACGTTTCTTGTGTGAGAAGTTCGTGTTTGACAGGAACAATCCGTGGTCCGCGTAGAGTTGAAGTAGGCGATCTCCGTTGTCCGTCCGGTTGACTGGGATTGCATGCGGTCCACCAAGAGGCCGTTCTAATTCGTCCAGGGTTCCTACTTGAGCATTAAAGTCTCCGGCGACTACTACGATATCCGTTGATCGAGCGGTTTGTAGTAGTTGAGAAAGATCCTTTTAGAATTCCTCCTTGATTTCAGGTGTACTGCAATCGGTCGATGCATACACCGATACGACGAACAGGCATCGACGCTTCATTCTGTAGCTGTTGACCCATGCTGAACCGTTGAGACGTACAGCGCACAGTCGTTTACTGACTGGAGTCCAGTCAAGCAGCGAGCGCTCCGCTTTGGCGCAACCGCAACACTAGCGATACCTCGAGCCGATGTCGAATCGCCTGTCACACGAAGGATGAAACGTGAGGTTGAGGTTGGATCAGGAGAACGCAAGGAGATTATTGAAGTAGGGTCTTGTATGCGTGTTTCGGAGACACAGCATACATCTAAATTGAAAGTTTCAAGAGTTCCAGCCAAGGGAGCTTGTTGACCTAGCTAATAGAGTGTGCGGACATTGAATGCGGCTAAGTGAAAAGGGGATTTTGGCTTTAAAAATCCTATAACTTCTGATTGTTTGGCCTTGTTTGTAAAACGCTGATTGGTATTCGATGGGTGGCGTTCAGTTTTTTTCTTATTGTTATCTGCGCTTCCGAGAATTTGGTTTAAGTCCCATTATTATTAAGATGAAACGAAATTTAGTGTTTTGACCTATGCGACATTACTTTTTGTTGGTCTGCAAAGCAAAAATAAAGCACTACAAGAGAATCTCCGTTTTAATTTTAATGTGCGCTTTATTGAAAAAATTCGAATGGTTCTGTAGTGTTCTACAAGCTGACGAATTTAGAATGCTATCGATTACCTTCCGTAAATGAAGTTTGGAAAGATCAAGCTCATGAAGGTGCTACTGCGCCAAACACTTTTCATTAACTTTTACTGGGCTATGGGGTCAGAAATTCTTATTCTTCCATCTATTTGCAACTTGAATGGGAATCAGCTTAACGATTTCCCGCTAAATTATGCGTCTGTTTTATCTAGGCCTTGTGTGGCTTGCCATCTGTATTATCAGTGATTGGATTGATGGTTTTCACAACTGAACAACGGGTCCTCTTAGCTACGCAGCAACTTTCACTGTTCTCCACATCGATTGAATGAAGTAGATCACACGGAGTTCAGTCGATGTGGTTTCAATGTAACTAAGTAAAATAGTAAGTTAATCAGTGTATTTTTTCAGTGTCTTATGTGCTCAGCTTTCAGTTTGTTTCAGATCGCTGCGGATGATGTTGCCATTGTTTGGGCACGGAGCCATCATGGAGATGAAGAATGGACTTCATATAAAGTCGTTCACCGCTCATACTCGGTGTTATTAGCTGCTCTTCAGCTTTGTTTTCAACCTAACTTTGAGACATTGTCATGACTGTAAAGAAACGTTATATTGCGTCTAATTGTAAAAATGCTGTTTGCATTCAGGTTGTCTCTATCCTCCGAGGGCATACCAAGAAAGTCACCAATGTTGTTTATCATCCCACTGAGCAATTAGTGTTCACAGGCTCTCCTGATGCGACTGTTCGTGTATGGGGCGTTGAACAAGGGCAGTGTGCTAGCATCATTCGTGCGCACAGAGGAGCTGTTACAGGATTGAGCGTCCACGCTACTGGCGATTATTTACTATCGTCTAGTTCTGATGGTCAATGGGCTTTCAGTGATCTCCGCCATGGCCGCGTCCTTGTTCGTATCTCAGCTCTCGATAAGAGTGGTACCCAGCAGTGTAAGTCGTGTTTAATGTTTTCTTATTAATGTAATTGTTTGTGGAGTTTTGAATTATGAGGTGATTGTGTGTATCCAACAGGATGCTTTTGGTGACACTAGTTATTTTGTTCTTTTTTGTGATATAAGAATGTTACTTGTAGGCATCAGTCACTCAGGTATATCTATATTTGTTTGTCAGACAATGTGATTAAACTTGCATGACAAAAGTAACGGAAAGTTCGTTTAGGTACCGCTTTCGGAACTGGAAGCCCTCAAACGGAATTTCGAGTATTTTAATTTTGGTTATCATCTTATAGTCGTGGAAAATGTACATACTTACTAGGGGAGAAATATGAATATGGAAAGCCCAGAGTAACACGAATAAAAAAGCCAATTTTCATGCCTTATGGCTGTCACTTGTCGTTCTCGATCACGTACTGCATGACTACCATCAAACCTGATGTCACAACGCTACATCTAGGTCTACCGCACATCTTTGCCAAATGTGGTATCCGCCTTTGATCATGTGCCTATTAATCTCTACTTTCCTCTTTGTATCGATCACGGCTATCTTCGGTTGCCAATTGAGCCGGCTTCCTTAATAGTTCGAATGTCGCTTCCTATGTACAGCAGTCGGTGCAGGTAGTTATCTAATTGGGGTTCGATACTTGGACAAGGTAGATCGAGTTCACAGCGATCTCTGTTTTAAGATCTACTCCAGATTTGTATGGGGAAATCAGGGAACTACCGTATGATTTGGTATCTCTAGCACTATTTAAACCCTCATATTCGAGGGTGCACCTCTCCGCAAAACCATGTGCGGACTGCAAGACAGTAAAGAGACATCTCTTTGAAACCCATCCACTATGCTCTAACGTGGTTTACCCCGTCTGTCGCGCTGCTTACTCGAGAGTAAATACTGATCACTAGATATCCTCTCGGAGCCACAGGAGAAAACGAAGAACTTAGGGGATGATCAAATTGTGTTCACTTTCCCTGTCACCCGATGTGGCTTTCATAGAGTGCAGTAACCGTCGAGAAACTGAAATATTGAGTTTGCTCATCGGTCTCCATCAACAAACGTTTGGACGGTGAACGATTGTTCGAATGGTAATCAGTTACCCAAAGTTTTACACCTCATGACTTGTTTTAATTGCTCCAACATAAGTGCATAATAAGNTAATAAGGCGAAGCCGACATTGCTCAAATGCCCTGAATCTCCAATCATTCTCTTTCACAACTGAAATTTATCTGTCCGTCCTAACACACAGGCAAGTGCTATGTTGCCTCCAGAAACCATTCCATCTCCGCGTGGTGTATACCAGGGGATCCAACGCAAGTAAAACAATTTATGGGATATATCTTTAGCCGATCCACAACTGACCCCACTAGGTACGCGAGGTTGAAGGAGGTTTCGCGCTTTTGACAGTTCTAGAAAACGAAACGTACCACTCACTGATGCTTTTTACTTAATCCTCTCACTGAAGCATGATCCTCAAAATTGCTTAAATGTGTCAGGCCCAGGCAACAAGAGTGTAATTAATAAAATTCGAGGATGTATATATTTCAAACACGTTTAAGGTCAGACTATGTACAGAACAATAATAATAGAATAACCTTAATAAAATAATAAAGTTACATGACTTGCATGTGGGCGGGATACTGCCAGATTGCTGAGGTTAACTCATAGGAATTCATAACCGGAGCCTTCGGCTACCCGAAACCTGACCGGCAATGCAG